GGAAGCAAAGGGAACTTGTGTTTGGGGAAGGATTTCTGTACTTGGGTTTTGATGTCATGATTTGAACAGTTTGGCTCTTCATGGATTTATTTAAGGAAGAAAAAGAGAGTAACATAATTTTTCAATCTTAATTGTCCTGATAAATTAAATAGAATGGAATTAAAGTACTGTCAGTACATTTATAAAAGTAGAACAGACATTTGAGAAATAAATGTTTGGATGTAATTTGGTACCTTTCTCACTTTTTGATGTTATTATTCATTGCTGGACATAGCCCTGTTTCTTTCCTCTCTGTTTAAATAAATCATATTTACTGAGCTATAATTTATATACGATAAAAGCCAGTATTTTTAGAGTACAGTTCAATGAATTTTGGCAAATGTATATATCTGTGAATGTGTTACTGTCACCCCAGAGAGTTCCCTCCTGCTTCTTTGTGGTCAGTTCCTCCTCCTACCCCCTTCCTGCTCCAAGCAACTAATGATTTGAATTCTGTCATTATGGGTTATACCTGCTTGTTCTAGAACTTCACACAGTATGTATTCTTTTGCATATGGCTTCTTTTGCTCAGCGTAATGTTGTTGAGATTCTTCATATTTCTTCTCTTTTATTGCTGACTAGTATTTCTCCCATCCCCTACGTTTTAAAATAGCATTTCTTCTTAACTGTAACTTTCTAAGCAAAAAGCTGAAACCTCAGGGCAGTTTAGTATTAAGAGTTCTTGTAGCTTCTTATGTCTGCAGCTTTGGTTAACTCAGTTTTGGGAGTAATTTTGGTGATGTTCATATTCCACACAGGCCAATGCCATCTCCCTCACACCCTACTCCCAAATTCTACCTTCCTTTTCATTTTTCCTCCATGTAATAAGCAAAACTGAGAGGTGAGCTGACTACATTGTGTATATCCTGATGTGAACTTCCAGCTATGGAAGATGAAGATGTAGTTCCTCTGTCACTCTTTCCTCCACCCCACCCCATCATCTTCCCTGGTGCCATAATGGTCGTTTTCCCATCAGAAGGGAGTTTGCTAAACTTTACTGACACTCTGTAAGTTTTTCCCCATTCCCTTATCAAGAGCCTAGTTGGGTGTTATATGACATAAAATTTATTTTTACTGTTTCCATAGTAACCATTACCCACAGAGGAAAAAGCTGAGATTTATAGACCCAAGGTGATGTGAATAGAATATCAGAAATCTAATTCTAACAGACTTTAACTAATATTTAAAATAGAATGGATTTAATAGCTAGAGTTCTTAACCCAGAGACCAAGAACTCCAAGAGGATTGAGGAATGGCCTTGAGAAATATGATTAAAAAATCAAATAATACCACAAATGCTGATAAAAACCAGCACTCCCCTGCCTTGTCCTACTTCAATCCCAATTCCAACACTTCAGAGACACTGACTTTTACTCTTTTAGTTGTTTTTGCCCCAGATAGTCCTGTTTCTATATTTCTAAGTAATATGCTTATACTGGTTTTTTCTTGAATTTTCTATCTTAGACATTGCATATGAACTTCCAGCTATGGAAGATGAAGATGTAGTTCCTCTGTCACTCTTTCCTCCACCCCACCCCATCATCTTCCCTGGTGCTCTCCAGGAGAGCTGTATCCTAGTTCTTGGTTTGGTTAAATAGATAGTGCTTACATTATTATGAGTATATACATATTTCCATGGAAGCCATCCCCAGCTGCTATTTTTGCTTGTGCAATTTTGTTGCTGTTTTCCTTGGAATCAATGATTGAATAATCCTGTTGCCTTTCTCCTGCATCGGAACCCCCTACTCCCCACACACCTCCCCTTTCCTGGGTCCTGGGTTTTTTCTCTTTTGTTTTCCTTTGTATTGATGGAGCACATTCTTCAGTATTTTCCTGAGATATGGTGCATATAAGATTTATTTTTTGAGATCTTGCAGTCAGAAAATGTCTTTATGCTTTCCTCATACTTGATTGATAGTTTTCCTGGGAAATAATTCTCTCTTAGGATTTTGGAGATATGTTATTCCTTTGTCTTGTAGCTTTTAGTGTTGCTATTGAGAAAAATCTGATGCATTCTGATTCACAATCTTTTGTATAGGTCCTGTTTTCTTTTTACCCCCCTTTGAAAGCTTTTAAGAAATTGTTTCTTTATCTTTTGTGTTCTTACATGTCATGGTAGCATGCCTGGGCTGGGTCTTATTTTCACTCCATTGTCTTGAACACTTGGTGTGCCTTTTCAATCTGAAAATTCATGTCTTTTGTTCTGGGTAATTTTCTTTTATTATTTTATTGGTATTTTTCTCCTTTTTTTTTTTTTTTTTTTTTTCATTTTTCCTCCCCCGGAACTCCTATTTGGCAAGTATTGGACCTCTTGGATCAATCCCCTCATTTTCTTTGATCTCCTTCTTCCTATATTTTGTTTTTGTGTTTTACTCTTTGATTTTTTTCTATAATATTTTTAATTTCCAAGAGCTATTTTTCATTGTCTGAATTTTTTATAGCATCCTGTTCTTGTTTCATTGATGTAATATGTTACTTTTCCTAAGGATATTATAGTTTTTTTTAAAAAACTGTTTGCTGCATAGTTTGTCCCTTCCTCCTCTCCACTACCTTTTTCTTTTTGTTTGTTTTGATTCCTGTCTTTCCATATTACAGGCTTTCCTTGACTGTCTGGTGACCTTTGGCTGACTCTCTGTGTGTAAGAGAGAGGCGCTACAAAGCTGATTGGAAGCTCCAAGCATGTTGTGGGACTTGTCTAGAGATGATTGGCAGGGACCCAGCAGTTTCCTGGTGAAACCTGAGATATCACTGTCTATAGTCTTTTCACTTGGTTACTTTTCCCAGGGGAAAGCTGTAATTTTCCTGCGTTGGGGCTAAAAGTCAAGCTCAGTGTTATTGGAGCCAACCCTGGAAGGAGGTGGAGGATATTACTGTTCTGTAGGCCCACTTTGATGTCATCCTCCTGTTTTCTGTCCAGAGCATCACACCCTCCCCTCAGCCGTGCCTGGTATTTCCTGGTCCAGATCCTGCAGTTTCTTCAGATCATAAACCTTCTAATTGGCCAGTGTTAGGGGGAGGGAATTACCTGTCCATGTGGTTTGATGAGGATCTAGGGCTCAAAATACTCCTTATAGAAAGTTGTAACCTCGTACTCCTGCTTTTAATATTCTTCATGTCTCCTTTTCGGTGTTAGCAAACCCCACTGCTTGCTAAGATTTTCGGATTTCTCTGCTCTGCTAATTTAGTTACCCATCATTCATCTTTTCGCCAGCTTCTAAAGTTTTGTTGCCATCTCTCACTGTTCTCTCCTCTCTTTCTCTTTTCTTGGTGTTTTATGCTAAAAAAAAAAAAAAATTCTTTTGCTATCACGTTGGGATTATAGGAAGGAACAGAGGTAATTAGGACCATCTTCAAAAGATTTTCAGAGGGATGTGCCCCAAAAAGCCAATAATCATTCTACCATGCCCATCAAGAGAGATTCCAAAATCCTGTTATTCAGGGCTTTTTATGTTGGAGAGTTTTATCTAAGTATGATTTAAGTGTTGTCCTAGGTTGTGGGAATAGATTAGATACTTTCTCAAGAAACCTAATCTTAGCATTGTATCTTCATATTTTGCATGTTTGTTGGAAAAATATTGAAATTCAGTTTTGTAATCATCAGGAGTATAGTGTCAGTGAGTATGTGCACCTCCACACCAAATCTTGTAGAAGAAGAAGACAGATTTGCAATTGTCAAAAATATGATAGACTTTCTAGAGTGATGGAAATGTCCTATATATTGATGGAGGTTTGGATTATACGGGTGTCTGCATTTGCTAAAACTCATTGAATGGTATACTTGAGATGTATTCATGCATAAATTTTACCTCAAACAAAACCAAAAACGAAACTGTAGACTTAAATTCTAGTTTAAGTAAAAATACACGTAAGGAATGTCAAAAGTATACGATGGTAGTTCTATGAATTGTGAAAGGTCATGATTCTTTTAATTTTTTTATTATTTATTTATTTTTAAAGATTTTATTTTTTTCTTTTTCTCCCCAAAGCCCTCTGGTACATAGTTGTATATTTTTAGTTGTGGGTCCTTCTAGTTGCGGTACGTGGGACACCGCCTCAGCATGGCCTGATGAGTGGTGCCATGTCCGGCCCAGGATCCGAGCCAGCAGAAACTCTGGGCTACCAAAGCCGAGCATGCAAACTTAACCACTCGGCCAGAGGGCTGGCCCCTCTTTTTATTTTTTTATGTTGTAAAAATTGAAAATTTTTAATTAGTAGAAAATGAAGATATATTTATAATGTACATTGACTCCATCCCTCGCTGCAGCTCTCCACCTCCTTCTATTTTGTCAGTCTGTGCTTGTGCTGCTCACTAAAGTGTGAGATCTATGAGATGCTTGCAATGATCTTATTTAAAACCGAAAAATCTGAATACCTGGCAAAAAAGAAAAATCCTTGGTATGCCCTAATTCCTTTTATTTTGAGATTATCTCTGGATGTGTCTACTCTTTCTGGAAACTGAGCTCATTTTCATTTTAGTCAGTTGAAATGAATGCCTAGTTCCTTGATTGTAAACTTCAGCTGAAGCTCTCTATCTAGAGGGACTGACCAAGTGACCTATCAGCTGAATAGGAACTATGCAAGGAAGAATGGGGAAGGAATGATAATGTGGACTCTCATATCAGTCCCTTTTAGATATGTTAACATCAGTGTGGTACTTCCTGTTTTCAGAGTGTTTTATATTCTAAGTAATTTTCTCTAGATTGACTCAAAGGTGGGTTAGGAGTAGTCTTCTCATTTCACAGGAGAGAAAATATAAACATAGAGAGGTAGAGATGCACCCAAGTGAGTCAGCATCAGAACCAGGATTAGAATTTTGCAAGCAGACCAAGCAAATGGAATAAAAGAGAGTGGGAATTAGAAAGTGTCACTTACAGTAGTACCAATGAAGAATACTAACCAGATTAGGGGTTTAGGCTGGCAAGACTTTGGACTGACCTAAGATTGAATCTGTTTTGTTGTAGGTAAAAGAGAATCTGCTTTCATGCAAGATGCTGTTGCACTGCAAACGGGATGAGCTTCGGAAATTGTGGATTGAGGGAATTGAACATAAGCATGTCCTGAACCTGCTGGATGAAATTGAGAATATCAAGCAAGTGCCTCAAAAGCTGGAACAGTGCATGGTTAGCAAGCACTATCTCAGTGCCACCGACATGCTGGTAAGAGATCAGCCTGCTCTAATGGTCGTTTCTGCTGAGATATAAAAGCACTTCCCTTTGTTCTCTCTGAATTCTTTAATTCATGGAGCACATTACAAACTGCCCACTTGGGATTCACGAGCCCTTGCAGGTGTAGCCTGGCTAGTTCTCGTCCTAATTCCAGTGTTTGAAATGGCAGATTATTATTATTTATGTGTTGTCTGCCTTTGTAACAATGGCAAGAAGTGTAATGTTAAGAAAACAGTACTTAAATCGTGTTGGAATGGTAATGAGAGGTTTTTTTTTTAGCTTCAGAGGAACGTAAAGTTAATGAATCCCATGTTAAAGAAAGAAATTTGCGTGAGAGAGAACTTTAGATTTATAAACTTGATGTTCCACAAATTCTTTGAAGGAATTTTTATATTAGGGCTTTGTTTTTTCCTTTAAATTGATAAGAAAGAAAATAATGTTTTTGGAATAATTCTGGAAGTAATATTGTCAAGCAAGACTACTCTACAGCCTAGCCTTTAGCCTCTATCTTCATCCATTCTGCTACTTTGTGAATTTGAAATGAAAATTCAGAGAAGTTTGCAACTGGTGGTGCATGTGACTGAGTGTCAAGAAAATGAGTAAAAAATGAAAATACTCATCTTGCTCTCTAATGACCCTAACTTTCTCAGGGCCTCAGGCTCTTAGGGCGGCTCTCTCTCCCTCCTCTTTCCACACCAGCACCCCTCTTCCTTCTCATTCGCAGTTGTCTGGGGACTGCAGAAACTCTCAGTAATAGATAGACTGTATGTGGGTTTTCTTTTTCACGGTAGGTGAAAATGCCTTACCTGTTTCACCAAATTAGATTGGCTGTAACATTGGAAAAAACACTGAGAGGAATTGGTGGGAGAAACAGGTTAAATCCTCTAAGTGGTTTTAGTTCATTGAAACTTTCAAGAAGAATTTTTCTGTAAGTTCTTTGTAAGATGCTTTTAAGGAAGTTTGATAACCAAGAGGTGAGATGTGCTGTGACAATCTATTGTATATTAAAATCTGGTTGTGTGATAGGGGTGAATAGTCAGTTTCCACAGTGGAATGAGGTTAATAACGCTCTGCTCTTGAGAGTCGCAAAAGAGTAGGTTATTTTCAGTATCCTGTTCATAGTGACATCATCCATAATAATGACTATAGGGTGTTTGACAAAAAAATTAATCACCTTTCAGCTTTACTGTTGGTTTGTCCATTAGAATTGCATATATGTGCTAAATTACCAAGATTCAGCAATCAGAATAGATAAGATTATATATGTTGGTGTATCATATACACATCTATTTGAATCATGGTTTTTTGTTGTGGGCCTGCTTTTAAGTAAATGCTATATATTAAAAATAGGTTGTTAGAATTTATTTCTATGTTATGTTCATTTTAGGATTTCAGATTTTTGTTTTATGGTTTTATTACTTAGGGGCTAATTTATTTACTTAAGAGCTAATCAATAATGAATACGGCCCTTTTTTTTTTTACTTACTTTCTTAAGGACCTTATTAAATACTTCTTTAAGTCCTTGGTTGCAAATTACAGAAATTCCACTCTAGCTAGCTTAGGTAAAAGAACTGCTTGACTACTGTACCCAGTCTGCTAAAAGGATGGGAGTAGATGTGGGGTGCCACCTGTGTGTTCTTTCCTCATGTCGTCTTCCTTGTTCTCCTAGGGACTCTTCCTTCCACCTGTGCGCTGGGTTTGGGTGTTTGAGGAGAAGGAGGAGTGGAGGCTGTGGCCTACATCTTTCGAGCTTTGCAGAGGAAAATAACCTTTTTTTGCTAATTCAAAAGTGCAGGGGTAGCAGGGGTAGGATCTAGACTGGGCCAGCTTGGGTGCTATGATTGCCAGTTCTAACTAAAATTTTGTGGTTGTGGGGGTGAGGGGCCTGGTGAGTGGGGTGGGGAGGAAGAGCAGTCACCTCCAGAAAAAGGTGAGCATATGAGATACATTTCCCAGAAGTTCCTTTTTTCTATTTGTAGTTCTTTATATGTTCTGGATACTAATCCTCTGTCCGTTAGATGGATTGTAAATATCTTCTCCCAGTTGGTGGTGTAGCTTTATTACTTTGTTTTTGGTGTCTTTTGTTATAAGGAAATTTTAAAATTTAATGCAATAAAATTTCTCTTTCATTTTCCTTTATGTTATGTGACTTTTATTTTAAGAAATTTTCTATCCCAATATCATAAAGAGAGTCTCCTATGTTGTCTTCTTTAACTCATTTAGAATCTGTTTTCATATATGGTGTGAACTAGGGATCTAATTTTATCTTTAAACAGCTGCTTGGCTCCAACCAATTGTTGAATCCATTTCCTACTGATTTATATTGCTAGCTTGGTTACATACCAAGTTTTCACGTATGCATGGGTGTGTTTCTGAGCTCTTTATTTTGTTCAGTTGGTCTCATGTATATCTGCACCAAAACCATGCTGTTTTACTTACTATAATGTTATTATATGTCTTGATAGCAGGTGAAGATATTTCTTCACCTTGCTGTTCAGAATTGTCTGTGCTATTCTTGGCTCTTTACTCTTCCATAGGAATTTTAGTATCAGCTTGTTAAGTTCCACAAAAAATGTGATGGGATTTTGATTAGATTTAAGAGAAGTTCATCTTTTTGGTAGAGTTCTTCCAGGGAAGAGGATGTGTCTCTCATTTATTGAAGTCTTCATGAATGTCCTTTTATAAGAATGCTTAGTAATGTATTCCATAGGGTACTACATATATTGTCTTAGTTTTATTTCTGGGAATCATATTTTTTGTGGCTTTTTAAAACAGTAGCTCTTTGTTAATTACAGTTTCTCCTTATTTGTTGCTGCTGTATAGGGATGCGATAGATTTTTCTTTTTTAATTGATCATGTATTTCCCTGAACCTAATCCCAATCCTGTCTGCCTGGAAAATGACGATTTATTCTTTAAGACTTGGCTCAAATTTCATCAAGTCTATGAATGTCCCAGGTAATTCAATTAGATGGTTTTCTCATCCTTTTTTTCAAAAAAAAATTATCGTGTATTTCTTTTTATTGTGGTAAGAATATTTAACATGAGTAGCCACATTTCTTTATGGTTCCATAAGCTGCAGGTAGTTCATCATAATATAATTGCTTTTGTGTATAAGATAGGTCATTGAGGACAGGGCCTGTATCTTACCTATTTTTGTCTGTCCTGTGCTTAGCATAGTGCACCTCATGTAGTCAGAGTTCACAGATCATTAGCCAAACGGATAACTATGTGAAAGACCCATGCCAGTATAGAGAAAAGGGCATTTCCTCTTTTGGAGCTCTGGTCTGTTTTTCCTTCCGTTTTTTTTTTTTTTTTGGCAAGGTTCTCTAGTTTCTAACCTTTCCTTTTTGCAATATTTAAACGGACAACAAAAACAATAGTGCTAATAGCTAATATGTATTGAGCACTCACTATGTGCTGGGACCATTTTAAGTATGTTAACATTTGTTAACCCACTTCTTCTCTCAACAACCCTGTGTGAGAGAGATTTTTGACATTATCCCCCTTTTCCAGATGAGGTAGTTGCTTTGTATGATCTGGGGAGTTGGCATGCCCTAACATACAGTGAAGATTTCATGGAGGTAGGCTTTAAGGTGTGCTTAAAAGGTTGGAAATATTCTTCAATTTGGCCTTTTGTCTACAAGAGTGAATAGTAAGGTCTATAATTGCTCTTTCGTCAGACGTCACATGAAAAAATGATCACATTTTCTTTCCCTATGGTTATGTGCTGTTAGAAGTAAAATCTACTTAAGGCCATCTCAAGAGTCCAAATGGAAAGCTTTGCTAAAAAGACATCAGAGGAAAGTGAAGACAAAGCAATCTAGTCTTTCAAAACCCTCTGATTTCCTTGCATTTGTTTATCAAAAGATTTTGCATTTCCATTTTCAGGCAGGTGCAGATGCCCAGTAAATTAATCCCTACTCAGGTTAATAAATCCAGAGTAAATAAATCAGTGGTGACCCATGGCTCTTGTCAGCTCCTGCGATTCCTACTTCACCATCAGACTGGTCTGATAGCTATAGACGTGGCTTCTAGATGGGATATTTATTTCTTCTTTTGATATGATAACCTGAGTACTGCATAAAATAATTAAATTGTCATGACAGGGCCTGTCTGCAAATAGGCATGGCCTTTTGTTTCCTTCTTCAAGGTAAACAGCTGCTGTTAGCTTATGAAAAGCTAAAAATGATCCAACAAGAAGCCTGTGTCCGTCACATTGAAATCAGAGTCTTGATTAATATTGTAGCCTGTAGCTTTGTGATACATATGGTTTAAATGAGACCTTTGCAGTCATTGTGCTGGTGGATGCAAGCACATTAATGACATAATTTCTGGTTGCTGCATCACATTTCTGCAGTCTGTCCTTTGTATTCCACTCACATTAATTGAAGTAATTTTGCCAGTGAAGCGTGTTTCAAACCTCTGCATTTAAATTGAAATTTTAATTCCCTTATTGTCTTGAAAAGACGGCTGAAGATGCCTTGTTACAGGTTTCATTATCACTCAAAACACTCCAGCTGCTGGTTCTAATGTACAACGACTGATTAATTCTGGGAAGAATTATTAATATAAGAATAACAGCTTCTTCCCTGTGGCATGAGCTATCCAGGAAGGTATTTCATGATGGGTAATATTTTTATGAACTTTTTTTGTTAAGGAAAATTTGTGTGGAAGTTTGTATCAAACTAAAATTGCACAGATGAGCTTTGAAAACCACTTACACAAGTTGTGATTTATCAACCCATAGAAGTCAATTCATAATTGCATTCAATCGGTGGAAACCCAGCCAGTGCAAGTCGTTTTGGAGCACGTTAGCTGACAGTTGCGAGGCTTATGACTAAAATAATTTTTTCATTTCTAAGTCCTCCTGAGATTGTAGAGATTTTGAATGTCTCTTAATCATATTGTCTCTTTTTATTTATATACCTTTTCAAAAAGAATCCATAGCTGTATACTCAGATAAGGATTATTATGATAATTATAATAATAA